ACACAAAAAGCTTCAAAAGGAATCTTTGCTCATTTAATAAATCTCCACTTTTCAAACAATTCATCACAAAGTTTAAGCTTGAATTTAGCTATTTGGCATTGAAATATACACAAATAAAAATAGATAATAGCAACCACCACAAAAATTGAGCTGAGTGAATTTGATAATCTCGCAGCTGCCTTAGTATGTCTGTCACTCACAAGTCTGAACTCAGAACTAACATCAAACAGGGGTTGAACCACTGAAAGCATTACAAACTTGCAAACTAATAATCAATTGAAGTGGCCGGGCGCGGTGGCTCACGTCTGTAATCCCAGCACTTTGGAAGGCTGAGGCTGGTGGATCACAAGGTCAGATTGAGACCATCCTGGCCAACACAGTGACACTTTGTCTGTACTAAAAAAAATACAAAATCAGCTCGGCATGGTGGCATGTGCTTGTAATCCCGGCTACTCAGGAGGCTGAGGCAGGAGAATCACTTGAACCCGAGAGCTGGAGGTTGCAGTGAGCCAAAATCACGCCACTGTACTCCAGCCTGCCAACAGAGTGAGATTCCATCTATTAAAAAAAAAAAAATCTATTGAAGTAGAGTTGCCACTGAAGTGGCCTGAGATGGCTATCCTATCCTTGGCTGGTATCTGGGAATGTGAATTTTGGGAAGGTTTGGGAACCTGGATTTCAGAAGGGTTCCCTCCACCCTGACTGATCAAATGGCTCACTGTACCTGAACAATATGGTTTCTGCAGAACACCTGCTTTTTTTTCTGGAAATCTGGAATTTTGATTTGTGCACAATAGACAGTGTCTACATGACCAGACCCCAATAAAAAGCCCAAACACTGAGTCTCTAAGGAGCAACATTTTGCAACATTTGCAACAAATGCAATATTTGCAACATTTTGCATTTGTTGTCACAGCATATTGCTGGAGGAATTCAGCACATCCTATGTGACTCCACTAGGAGAGGATGCTTGGAAGCTGGTGTCAGTTTCCTCTGGACATGGCCCTGTGACATCTCCCCTTTGCTGACTTTGCTGTAATAAGTCATAGCCATAGTGTGACTATGTGCCAAGTCCTGTCAGTCCTCCTAGCAATTTGTTTAATCCAGAAGTGTTCTTGGGAATCCCCAATACAGCTGGCATCAGAAGCAAATTTTTTTTTACTTCTCACTCTTTGTCACCCAGGCTGGAGTGCAGTGGCACAATCATAGCTCACTGCAGCCTTGAACTCCTGGGCACAAGTGATCCTCCTGCCTCAGCTGGGACTACAGGTCTGTATCCTCCTGAGAGCTGGGACTACAAGCACGTGCCACCATCCCGGGCTCTTTTTTTTTTTCTTTAAAGATGGGGTCTTGCTATGTTGCCCAGGTTTATCTTGCGCTCCTCGCCTCAAGTGATCCTCCTGCCTCAGCCTCTCTAAGTGCTGAGATTACAGCTATGAGTCATTGCACCTGGGCCAGAAGTGGAATTTGCTAGAACAACACTGACTCACTAAGATTTGGCTCCATCACTGTTTGGGAAAAGGAAAAATGATGAGGAATGGTGATAAGCCTTTGATAACTGGGTGTCTATGGAGCCCCCTATGGTTTGAGAGCAGCAGCTGAACTGCTGTCTGCTTTTAGAAGCCACAGTGACCTATGGGGTTAGAAACAGCTTCTTTGAGCTGTGCTGGATGAAGTGAGGGGAAAAATATACATCTGGGTGATGGCTTTGTTTTTTGTTCTCTTCTGTAGGTGGGAGGAAAAAAAAAAAACAACAGTGACAAATTATAAAGGTGAGTGTTGGGTGGCTCCAAAATGTTAAAAGTTCTCAGGGCTGGAGCAAAGCTGGGGTGGGGAGGGTGCCAAGACTCCATCCAGCCTCTTCTTTAGCCAAGCTGCTGCCCTGTTGCAAGAGCTGCCTCCTTCTTTGCCACCGCCTGTAACCTCCCCCATCTGCTTTCCAACCTGAATCTTTCCCATAGCAGTAATGCTAACCTAACTGCAAATGCTGGATTTACTGCTATGGGTTTAGTTTGTAATAGAAAAAAAAATGTTTAATGGCTTTGTTTTTTGTGGTTATTACATCTAAACGTATTGATATGATAAAATTGATATAACATGTTAAATGCTTTCAATTTCATAAATTCTAGAGGAAACACACTGATCAGGAAAAGCTGCAGAAGAAATTGAGTGGGACACAACTTCCTTGCTTTTTGCAGCTAGTGGGCAGCTTGGAATTTAAATTCTCAATACTGGAAACAGAACAGGTCTTCAAAATTAACTATTTTTGCTATGGTTTTTGCCTATTGGAGCCACTGGAAAAAAGGAGACTATGAAGAGAGGCAATCTTGAGCTAGAGATATGCTTTGGAATTTACAAATCTGTTTTTCATCTCTAATGAGCTCTTGTAAGATCATATAGCTCACACTCAGAGGCTGATGATTTTCTGGCCCCACGTGTATAGTTTTGAGTTGGTCAGCTTGAACCCTAAGGTGAATAAGGTAAAAAAAAAAAGCCCAAAAAAGCCTTGCTTGTCACTCGGCTAAGAACACAGCTGTCTGGCCCTGCAGCATCTCAGTCTCCAGTTACTGGAAGAAAATATATTAGATGCTGGGGAAACTATAAGGCTACAGGGTGATGCTGCATGTTGGCAGGGAGAACTGTTCAATGTAGAAACTGTGGGGAACAAAGAGAGATTCTCATCTGTGTAGCCGCTGCTACGTGCTAATTTGGGGGTAAGAAAAGTGTTAAGAAATAAAAAAGCCAAGACCTCTGTCTTCACAGAGCTTTCAGGCTAGAAGGGAAAGTGGTCACAGTACAAATTGTATACAACTCCACTAGTACTTAAGAGGTCTGATTTATTGCTTTGAAACACAAGTGCAGGATGTTTAAGGTTTATCAGCAGCCTTTCCCTTTGCGGAAATTGTAAACTAAAAATAAAATCCTAAGCCCCCACCAACTGAAGGACACTCCCCTTAGCCAAGGGGACCCCAGAAAAACCTTACAACTGAGTTCCTGGCCATGACGAGATGGAGGTCAGACATGTCTCATTATACCCTCTGATGTTTGTGGTTTAGACACAGTAACTGACAGCATTAATGTTAAAATAGAGATCGTAAGACTGGCAGAACAGACTTTCGTGGCAATGAGATACCAAATTATAAACAAGACCTAAGGCCATGTCAGACAAGGGTTAGGTCAAGCACCTTAAACTTAAAGAGTAAACTACGGTCTGACTGCCACAAGGTTTTTCCTTTTTCTCTAGCAGCTAAATAAACACTTGACCTTGAGATAAGCAAAATGGAAACAATTGTAGCTCATCACCAGACACTAATTGGCTCCCAACCCATGTTCCAAGCACCATAACTACAGCTTTGATTAGACAAGAGACTGATTTCAGTAACTTTCTCCTGATAAGAAGAACACCCACCATAAACTGGTTCTGGCTGGGTTTACAGAGGTTGCACACTTGAGTGCCTTCATGTCCTGAAAAGACCTTTTGACTGATAGGGCCTGATTATAATACATTCAAATGTTAGGTCTCCATCCCAAAGTGAACATGGGTCACATGTTACATGCATATTGGTTCAACACACGCGCATCAGGACCACCTTCATGCATACTCATAGCTCCTCCTGTAACCTGTTGAAGATGTATGTTTAGCTAACTTGTCCAGCATAATGCTCCCATCCCAACCTATGTTCCTTCAAAGTGCCTGTCCCCGGTCTTAGCCAGAGGCATTCTTCTCAGCCTGTTGCAGGCTGTAACCCCCTATAAGAAATAAAGCCTCCCTCCATTCCAAATAGTTAAATCTTGCGATTTATATTATTTTATTTTATTTTATTTGAGATGGAGTTTTACTCTTGTCGCCCAGGCTGGAATGCAATGGCGCGATCTTGGCTCACTGCAACCTCTGCCTCCCGGGTTCAAGCAATTCTCTTGCCTCAGCCTCCTGAGTAACTGGGGCTATAGGCACCTGCCACCATGTCCCGCTAATTTTTGTATTTTTAGTAGAGGTGGGGTTTCACCATGTTGGCCAGGCTGGTCTCGAAATCCTGACTTCAGGTGATCTACCTGTCTCCGCCTCCCAAAGTGCTGGGATTACAGGTGTGAGCCACTGCACCCGGCCTAAATCTTGTGATTTTTAAATTCAACAGAGTCAAATAAACGATTCCTTGATAGAGCAACATTTAAGGCAGACATTAGTTTTTATTGCCCCATAACGCTTCAGTAAGTTTCCCTGAATGTTTGCATTTACTTGTCAATCAATTCACAGTGACTGAGGCAGAAGTAAAACCCACAATTACCTTACCCCTGGCCTATGTGATAAAGTAACATATTTTTTATCACATATTTGAGAGACATCTCTGCTACTAGGAACTTTTTTTTTTTAATCTTTTATTTTAGGTTCGGGGGAATATGTGCAGATTTGTTATGTAGGTAAACTCATATCACAGAGGTTTGTTGTACAGATTATTTCATCACCCAGGTACTAAGCCTAGTACCCAATAGTTATTTTTTCTGATCCTCTCCCTCCTCCCACCCTACCCTCATGTAGGCCCAGTGTCTGCTGTTCCCCTTTGTGTCCATGAGTTCTCATCATTTAGCTCCCACTTATAAGTGAGATTGGGCGATTGCTGACCTGCATCTCTCTTGGGTGGATCTCCTAGGACATAAGCAAAAGACCGTTGGCCACAACCACTACCAAGGTCCCTTTCTCCTCTGCTTCCAAGTTGGGGAGGAAACACAAGCCCTAAGATCACCCCAGAGCTGTGGTGGGAAGCCCAGGAGAGATAAAACCTGAGTTGTTTTAAACTAGAATATGCATGTGGCTTTTTAAAGATGTTTCCAATTTTTTTGCTATTCTCCCCTTGAGATTTTGAGGTCTATGCCTACCTTACCAGACTGGACACTAGTGCTCACTTGTCACTGACACATGACATGAAAGTGATGCTGTGTAACTTCCAAAGTTATGTTTAAAAAGGCCATAAGCATCTGCCTGGTTCACTCAGGTCACTCACCTGTGTGCCCTTGACCACCAAGTCAAAGCTCTTAATGTCCTGAGACTGCTCTGCTACCTGGAAGCCCAGGGTACCTGGAAGGTCTCCTATAGGCCCTGCAGCCAAAGCCCCATGTCCTCTGCAGACATGTGAGTGAAGTCACCTCCAGATGATGCCAACCCTTTGCTGTGGATTCAACTCCAGCCAATGAGTCTTCTCTGCAGTCACCAAACACCAATGAGCAGCAATAAACCATCTTTTCTGTTTCTTCCTAGCCCTGTGAACCATGAATAAAATAAAATGGTTGTTTTGTGCATTATTTTGTGGTGATGGTGGTTCTTTCTTTAAAAAAAAATTCACAGGAAAAGCACCAAGAATAACACTTGTAGGACATTCACAAGGTACAAAATAACATACATTGAAATCTAGGTTTCCTTCTTTCCCTCTTCCGCAGCCTATCAGGTTCTGCCTTTGGAAGTAACAATGGTTAAGTTTCTGCACATCTTTCCAGATTTATTAACTAAACAATCATACAGCACTGACACAGTGAGGAAGCTTTTTAAGGGCTTTGCTTACATTTATTCATTTACTCTTCATTCACTGTAGACACTCAGGTGGTAGCAGGAAGGAAAGTATTTTGCTCAACCAAATGAAAGTCTGATCTGCTCTTTGAATGCTGTTCCTTTAGTCACATGGTTCTATTTTCTTTATGTTCCCAAATCTTTTTTATTTTCTCCTCTAATTGAGCATGCAGAGATGTGACTCTGTTTTCTAGTTTTTCTTCCGTTTCACCACTAAATCTTAAATTTCATATGAGACAGGTAGTGATGAAATTCCTGAGTCACAGGACATGTATATATGTATGTTTATGATGGTGCCTTACACACACAAATATTTTTTAATCTAGCTGTTAACCATTAAAATTCTATACTCAGAGTGAGGAAATATTACATGTTCCTTCCCAAACCCTGTCAACTACCCCGTCAATTAAATAATCCCTGAAAAAATGGTAACATCTATATTAATGCAATTTTTATATCTAATCGATGACCCATTTGATAAAATAGTTCTAGAAACTTGTAATGAATCAGCAGTGATACAAATTTGTACTGAAGTATTTCATATCTAAAAGGGTATCTACTTTGTTTTAGACATGACAACTCTCTCATGTTTATTTTAGAATTTTTATTGTTGCATGCTTAAAGGGCTTGTCAATTCCCTTCCCTTTCCTAATTCTCATGACCAGATCATAAGAATGTGTCTGATCAGGCTGACTGATGTGCCACAACACATACTTAATCCTGGAATTTAGGGTTATCAGAAGTCTCCATTTAAAAAGATATTAATTATATGTTTTCAAATATCCGGCTGGTGAACAGAGTGCTTCATTTTTCTTAATGTCTCAGTGAATAGCCAGCCTTTTATGTATACATGAATAGAGAATCTCTCAATAACTTCAAAGAGATTCAGAAACAAGTACATAAACTTAGTTGCATAGAGAGAAAATGTAGGTAAAATACGTAAGTGATAAAAGACCGTTTTATATAATTACTTTTTAAACTAAATTTATAATAATGCTTTTTAAACTAAATCTGGAACAAATTTTAAATTATTTAATCTAGAAATGCCCAGTGATTCAGGAACAGCAGAAATGGGTGGGGAGGGCATTTCAACTCAAGCATGGAACTCCTTTTATTCTCAACATGTTACCTTTTTCTCTCTTCACTCTGAAATGTTCACTATCAAATATATTTGAGAGGTCTTTTTTCCTGATTTAACATTTATTTCATACACAGAGAATAACACTGTGGGTCTGGGATTCAGGTTTGAAATGCAACATGTACTCTAAGCAACCCTTTTACCCATGTCAAAATAGCAGCAGTTGGACCCCATAATGTGGCATGTATTCATTTGAAAATTCTACGGTGACCTATCACTGTGATCATGTGATGAAGCATATCTTGCCTTCCATTCTAATCATCACACTCTGTGAGCTTTGAGGTTCAAGTTTGACAGCATTTGTCAATTTTGGAACGTCACACAAAGAACGCTCAAATATGGGGAATTTTATGTACTGTTGCTGAGGTTTCACTTTCATCTTCTAATTGTGGTTTCTTTAAATAGGCCAGTTCACTTGTACTCAAAATGTCTTCCTCATTTTTTTGTTTCTCCTACTCCAATTTGTCTATGGATTTATGAACATGTTTTATAGTATTATTACTGATTTGTACTTTTGATTCTTCCACCAAGCTTTTTGTCTTATTTTCCTATTTTTAGAAAAATGTACTGTTTCCCCACACCACTTTTGTACACAATCTTTAATAGAATAGACACAGAAAAAAACACAACCACACTGCCTTCAGCAGATGAGAAGGATCTTGATACCAAATACAGCATGAGACATTCCATCAAAAGGAAATTATAGACCAAAGTCTTCTGAGTATAAATGTGAAAATCTGAAACCAAATATTAGAGTGGCCTAAATCTGGATATTTTTAGGAAAAAAACCCTGAAATTTCATGGTGGGAAACATAATTTTGCTTAGTTTAGAGGTTTTGAGGGATTGTTTTGAAGAAAAATTTAAAAGATAAACAGCATTAAATGGATATAATAGTTATAAAATAAAAACATGAAAAGTCTTAAAAATTAAAATATATTAATATATTATTATAAAAATATTATAAAAGGTTATAAAAATATTATAAAAGGTTATAAAATTCTTTTGTAATCAAGATTGGGATTAGATTTGTTTATAAGGTCTTATTAAAATTAGCCATAATATTAAAAATACAGCCAGGTGCGGTGGCTCACACCTGTAATCCCATCACTTTGGGAGGCCAAGGCAGGCGGATCACGAGGTCAGGAGAAAGAGACCATCCTGGCTAACAAGGTGAAACCCCATCTCTACTAAAAATATAAAAAGGAGCCAGGCATGGTGGCAGCTACTCGGGAGGCTGAGGCAGGAGAATGGCGTGAACCCAGGAGGCAGAGCTTGCAGTGAGCCAAGATTGTGCCAGCCTGGGCAACAGAGCAAGACTCCATCTCAAAAAAATTAATAAATAAAAATAAAAATAAAAAATAAAAATATTAAAAATACATTAATACTCAACTAAAAGTTTTTTTTTTTTTTAAATAAGTTTAAGATTTGTTCTCCATCGAACTAATCAAAGAGTATGTATTCCCATGTGCCGGAGTGCCAGGTCACCACATACTATTATGTTGGCTTTGCATATTTGATGATGTGTTGCTACCAGGATGCCATCTGGGTCTTTACCAGCATCCTCCTCTATATCCAGAGAACCAAGAGCATGTTCCAGAGGACCACATACAAGTATGAGATGATTAACAAGCAGAATGAGCAGATGCATGCACTGCTGGCCATTGCCCTCACGATGTATCCCATGAGTACTGATGAGAGCACTCACCTCCAGCTGCAGGAGAAATACAGGGACAAGATGCTGCACATGCAGAAAGGTGACCCACAAGTCTGTGAAGAACTTTTCAGTTACTCCTGACCCAAGTTCCTGTCGTCTGTATTGCCCAACTATGATAATGTGCACCCCAACTACCACAAAGAGTCCTTCCTGCAGCAACTGAAGGTGTTTTCTGATGAAGTACAGCAGCAGGCCCACCTTTCAACCATCTGCAGCTTCCTCAAGCTCCACACCACCATGCCTGTGGCCAAGCTGGCTGGCTTCCTGGACCTCACAGAGCAGGAGTTCAGGATCCAGCTTCTTGTCTTCAAATACAAGATGAAGAACCTGGTGTGGACCAGTGGCATCTCAATCCTGGATGGTGAATTTCAGTCAGCCTCAGAGGTTGACTTCTACATTGCTAAGGACATGATCCACATTGCGTACACCAAGGTTGCCAGGGGCTATGGGAATTTCTTCATCTGTCAGATTCACAAATTCGAGGAGCTTAATAGAACCCTGAAGAAGGTGGGACAGAGACCCTGACGACATTCACACACATTATTCAGGAACCTGTTTTGATATATTATAGGCAGGAAGTGTTTCTGCTACCATGAAACTTTTACCTAGATCAGCCATCAGCCTGTCAACTCAGTTAACAAGTTAAGGACCAAAGTGTTTCAAATGGGTATCAGTAAGGGATCTTTGGAGCCAGGAAAAAAAAAAAAAAAAGATTTGTTCTCAGTGAGATTACAGGCAGTAATAATTTTTAATTCTCAAATCTGTTTCTTTTTAAAACTTTTGAGATTCATATCTCAGAAGTTCAACCTTTACTATATTTTTTTACACATTATTTACAGGTCACACGTCATTACCCTCTGTTTATTTTCCCCTTCAAAATGTATATCTTTTTACTTGGCTAGAATGGTAACTTTGTCCTTCAACTTTTCCATCAGCTTTTAACTTTTCTCTCACATTCTATGTCTGCTTTTATAATACTAAAATATTGATCTCAAAGGTCAAAAAAATTTTTTCTCAGATGCAACATTTTATACTCTTAACTTTTTGATAAGTCTGAATTGTTGCATGTAATCAGGAAATTTACCATGCTATTGTTAGGTTTGTGCACAAGTAATTGTGGTTTTTGCCATTACTTTCAACGGGATTGTAATTGTAATCCCCATTACCTTCAACGGCAAAAACTGGAATTACTGCACCAACCTAATACTAGGAGCCATTTATCCGCCTGCTCAAGGTGCTAGTTTTCATGTTTACATTCCTCTATAATACAGTGTTCACTCATGACCTTGAATACATTGTGCCTGTGTCTAATTAAATTCAAGTATCTTTTTCATCAAGTTTGACTTCCAAATGATTTAAACAGACTTTATTTAGGCACTTCCCATTCTCTAGTATGCCATAGTCCAGGTTGTTCAGATAGTTGCTCAATTAAGTCAGTGAGAGAGTTGGGGTCATAGATTTAATTCATTAAACCATTAAAGCATCAGTCCAGATAGCCATATTTTCAGTTAATTTCAATTAGCTGCTCATGAAGGGTTGGCCAGTTGAATGGAAGTTGATTCTTGGCACAGCCTTCAAGTGGCAATTGGTTTAAAATGTCCTGAGTTCTGAACCATCTTGGGGGCTGAAACAGTTTGGATATGTGTCCCTGCCCAAATCTATGGTGAATTGCAATCCTCAGTATTGGAAATGACTGGGTGAGAGATGACTGGGTCACAAGAGTATATGTCTCATAAATGGTTTAGCAACATCCCCTTGTTGCTATTCTTGCAACAGTGAGTGAGATTTGGTTGTTTAAAAGTGTGTGACCCCTCCTCCCACCTTGCTCCTGCTCTGGCCTTGTGATGTGCATGCTCCCACTTAGCCTTCTGTTATGATTCTAAGTTTCCTGAAGCCTCCCCAGAAGCCATGCAGATGTCAGTATCATGCTTCTGTAAAGTTTTCAGAACACTGAGCCAATTAAATTTCTTTTCTATATAAATTACCCAGTCTCAGGAATTTTTTTGTTTGTTTTGTTTTGTTTTTTTTTGGGGGGGCTGTTTGTTTTGAGACAATCTCGCTCTGTCACCCTGGCTGAAGTGCAGTGGCGTGATCTCAGCTCACTGCAACCTCCACCTCCTGGGTTCAAGTGATTCTCCTGCCTTGGCCTCCT